TGCACCCCTTAATTGAAATTCACACCTCCTCAATCATTTTAACTTAAATTATAATTGATGTGGCATTTTCTTTTCACCTCCAAATGTCCCAAATATTATCCAACAATTTCCCTACAATTAATAATGCAAATAATTAGTCTCAGATAATTCAAATTAATTAAAATAAGAATTTCTGATCAAATTAAGCAAAATTAGGAAAAATGGGAAAATACTGGACATTCAAGCTCAATTCCCTGATTAAATCTAGCACAATAAGCTAAGTGAAATCAAAAAAATATTGACTCATCAATAAATAGAAGGCAAGAAGAAAGACGAAGAAGATGATGAAGGGGAGAGAAAATATGAAGAGATGAAGATATTTCATCTTCCGTTGAGCAAGGAAATCTCTTTAAGCTATTAAAGCTAAATTTCTCAAATCAAGGAAAGTGAAAAAGAGAAGAGCTCAAGAAAAGAAGAATAATCTCAAGCTTCATCAGAACATCCACTTGAAGGAAGAAGAGAGAGTGAGAAAGTGAAACACATAAAAATATCTCTCAAGCCTCATTGAAATATCTACTTGTATTTGTAACAAGAGAGAAGAGAGAAGAAAAATAAAGTATAACATCCCTATAGTGCTTCATTATATCATTTGCTTACTTGTGTAAGGTGAGAGAAAAAGAGTGATGAGAGAAACACCTACGAGTGTTTAGACTGTTTTGTATTGTAATCATATCCTCTATGCGAGAGTAATAGTCTGAACGACTTGTTACCGTTGATGGGATATATAATTGATGCTTATATTTCTTCGTATGTGGACTTCATAAAGCAACAAGGAATGAACTATTCTCCATCAATATTGAGAAAATTCATTGCACAAATCAAGTCAGCAAACGCAACACTCAAGCCTACCTAGACAATAATATAAGTTAAAGCCAGCAAACATGACCCCTAAGTCTACTTAGACATAGGACAAGCCTACAAACACAGAACATAAGCCTACCTAGACAATAACACAAGCTAAAGACTGCAAATGCAACACCTAAACCTATCTAAGGCAGTAGCATAAAGTTAAACCAGAACAACTACAACCTAACCAAACAGTCAATCCACCTACAAAACATAAAGTTGATTACAACTCAACCAAATGGTCAATTACTGTCAAAATAAGTTCACTCTACCTGTCAATCAAACTTTCAAGCTTGAAAGAACTTGTATAGTTATCCAAAACAACAAATATACTAAAGAGTTTAATCTAATGAAGCTCAATCAATATTATTAGCCTAAAATAACTAAATAATATTAACAAAAATATTTATTGACGTAGTATTTGTATATTAACATAATATATTGTCAAATCTCGATAATTTAATTATATCATAAATATTCTTTTATATATATCAATATAACGTGGTCAATTTGGTTAAATAATATATTATTGTTATTATCGTACTAATTTATTAGTAAGATTTTATCATATTTTATTTTGTAATAGATTTTATAAAACCCTATAAATATATGTGAAATTTTTGTAAGAAGCATAAATGCATTCTCGTAGTAGATACTATACACATAGAATATAAAATTTTCTTCGACCATCATACAGTTTTTTCCACAAGATGGACGCTCTAAATCTCAGTAAAACCAATTATATTTTTTAATGAGACATTTTATAAAATTTCATTTTAGCAAAAATTTTTTTTAATATTCACCAAATGGATAATAATAAACAAAAGGGTAAAAAGTTCTCTCCCACTTATTCGCAATTCCCACAATGGCGCGTGCCTGAAATTCCATAACACGCTTTACTTTTTCTGGTATTTCGAAACCACCCCTTACGCGCATGCGCTGTCGACACCAAGAAACGTCGCAGTCGTTCTCAAAAATAGTGTGACGGCCACTAATTTTACACCACATGTCTCTGAATACTCCCCTTCGAATGTCAGAACTTTCAACACTCGCCACGTGTCGATACCAGATAGATCCTCCTAGAAGCGCACTTTCTTTCTCTCTCTCTAGAACCTCCACACACAAACTTTGATTTCAAACGCACACACACTCTTCAACTTCACTGTCTACCTCCTTATATTGAAACCAAACCCCACTCTTCTCTCTTTACCCTTACTTTCTCTCGCCTAGGGTTTTCTCCACCATTGACCCCACACTCCAACGCATAGCCTCGCCCAATTTTTATGGGTAAATTTCTCCCTTGATTCTCCTTGTTTGTTTTTCGTGATCCGCGGAGAAAGTGAAAATGAAGTTTTTTTTTTTATCATTTCTGTTTGTTATTAAGTGTTAATTTTGTATCTCGGGCGTTTCAAATTCTTGTTTTGGTTATCTAAGTTCGTTTGGATCGTTATGGAGCTGAGTTTAACATTGTTGTGACTTTGATAGTCTTGTTTGAAAAAAAAGTTCTAGAGGAGTTTATTTATTTTCATTTATAGAAGTGCATGAATTTCTGGGTCTCAACTTTGTTGGGAATGAACGATTATTGCGATTACATTCTATGCATGCATTAGAGGGTTAACTGTTTTGCATGAATTTTGTGAGACGCGAAGTTTTGTGTTTTACTGTGGACGGGTGGAAGTGAGGAAACTTGTTTGATTTCAATTTTGGATTGATTATAGCAATTTGTTTTGAGAATCAGCAATGAAAGGGTCTAAAATACTGTGGGGAGGTAAAGAATTAGCTATCTTTCTGAAATTTTGATGGTTCTGCAACAGAGCAGGCTTTTACATCCTGCTTTTCGTTTCGCTTTTGGTGTGAAATGTAAAGCACCATAACGGGTATTTCTGATCCTGCATGCATAATGATTCTAGCTCTCGTATACTAATGGAGTTTTCTTTGTCTTTACTTTTCATGATTAAAAATTATGAATTAAAAACACAATAATGACCTCTTATCTCTTCGGTCTTCTTTGAAGTGTTCAACTTATGTTACTGTTGTTTTTGGACTTGGATTCTGAATGCAATTTGCACTCTGCAGTTTTAATTTTGGTTTGCTCTTTTATGGGTCCATCAATGTTAGTTTGTTGATTGATAACAAATGGTGTAGGCATTTATTATTAATATGTCTTCTAAGGTTGAACACTTGGATCTTTTCATGACTAATTTTGATCACCCATTTTTCTTTTGTGCGTTATGACTGCCAAAATTTTGATCCTTTGTATGCCTTGCCAGATGTTAAAGATATAGCATAATTTTGGCCTTAGATTCATCTTACCTGCTAAGTGACGGGAAGCTGTAGGTAGGCTATTTATTTGTATTATTGACGTTGTTTCATAAGTTATGTTTTAACCAAGTACCCATGCTCTTCATGTAAATGCTTACAAACCTGATGATAGAGGTAAACTTGTTCATTATGATATGCCTTTATGTTGGTCTCCATATTTTTAGACTTAACACCTGTCCTACTACAATTTAGTGTTTGAAAGATTGGTCTTTTATTAACCGTCATTAATCAATGATTTAGATAAAAAAAAATTCTGACTTTGTGCTGCGCTTCTGTTTTCAGTTAATGTGATACGGTGTTGTGTAACTTTGTAAGTAGGAAAATATTGAATCAATAAGGATTTGATCTTAGAGACTATTTTCTGTATTCTTATATAATATACTGTTTGAATGACTTTTTTTGACCTCTATAAAACCTGTATCCTTGCAATTTAATATCATATGATGAGGTTTTCTGTTTTATTTTTATTATAGAACTATAGAGAGGACAGTTTGAAGGTAAAATCTTAAAGCAGCAAATCATCATGAATAAATCAGAGGGGACTCGGCAGCGGCAACAGCAACAACAGCAGCAGCATGTGATGGGAGTTGCTGCAGGTGCTAACCAAATGACCTATTCTCACTACCAGACTGCTCCCGTAGTGGCTGCTGGCACACCTGCTGTAGCTGTTCCTTCCCCAACACAGGCTCCTGCTGCCTTCTCTAGTTCTGCACACCAGCTTGCTTACCAGCAAGCTCAACATTTCCACCATCAACAACTGCAGCACCAACAGCAGCAGCTGCAAATGTTCTGGTCTAATCAAATGCAAGAAATCGAGCAAACCATTGACTTTAAAAATCACAGTCTTCCTCTTGCTCGAATTAAAAAGATAATGAAAGCTGATGAAGATGTCCGAATGATTTCAGCAGAAGCTCCAGTCATATTTGCAAAAGCATGTGAAATGTTCATATTAGAGTTGACATTACGTTCTTGGATTCACACAGAAGAGAACAAGAGGAGAACCTTACAAAAGAATGATATAGCAGCTGCTATTTCAAGAAACGATGTTTTTGATTTCTTGGTTGATATTATTCCAAGAGACGAGTTGAAAGAGGAAGGACTTGGAATAACCAAGGCCTCTATTCCATTAGTGGGTTCTCCTGCTGATATGCCCTATTACTATGTACCTCCACAGCACCCTGTGGGACCTCCTGGGATGATAATGGGAAAGCCAGTTGATCAAGCAGCGCTATATCCTACACAGCAGCCTCGACCTACCATGGCTTTCATGCCATGGCCCCATACACAACCTCAGCCACAGCAACCACCCCAACAACAACAAACAGATTCATGATGATTATGTGCATTCAATTAGGTTTGGGAAGTAGCATGCATCTTTTGATTACAAATTTACTTGATGCCTTTCGGCAGTAGTTTAGGGTTATGTATTGAAGAAAGCCACAGATTGTTTGAGGAATTTTGCACTCATTTGTGATTGTATGAACTCTCTTAAAGATTAGTGTGATAGTTGATTTAGTTTGCAGCTGTCCATAACTAGTCTTAGGTGCTTAATTAGGGAGTCAAATGCTAAAAAATAGTTTTTGTAATGTTATAGCAGAAAGTAGGTCTAATTCAGTATTCCATTTCATTCCAATGGCTGAATTATATATGCTCGTCTGCTTTTTTCTTGTCACTTGTATTACGTGTTAAAAGACAAATGAGCGCGGCTCTAGTGCTTTAACCTTTGGCTGGATATGAAGTTTTACAAATTCTAATGTTTTCAACTACATTGTAGTCATCTTAAATTGTTTCTTTGTTCAAATATGTAGTTTCGATAAGGTAGATTGGATAAGGTGATTTAGATTTAGTGAATTTTAATTTCTTTATTTTGGATAAAATAAATTTGTTATTACCAAATTTAAAAGATTATTTAAATAATTGTTAAAAGTTAAAAAATTGTTGATATTGATAATGTTTGTAATAAATTTTGATTAATGTTATGTGTAAAACCCTAAAAATGACACTTGGAAGAGAGGGACATATGTCTCAACTAAAAGAGTTTAAGTATTTTAAACCACAGCTCATTCCATTTTCTCATAATCTGTATCTCTTTAAAAACTCAAACCTTTTCTTTTCTCCTCCTTCTCTCTAGAAAATTTTCATCTCATTTCAGCTTTTCAATCATCTGACCATACTCAATCACCCCTGATATCAAGAACTTCAATTTTCATCGATCAACGTCTCGTTTAGAACGGGTAAGTCTCAATCTCTGGGTTCTTGTAGGATTCTGAAACTATCTGACACATGCAAGTCACATTTCTGGCTGCATGTGTTCATCAGCTTCTTCTTCTGATTTTTGATCACTTTTCTGGTATTTTGGGTTGGTTCGTTACCGAAAATCAGTGAACTGTAGGTTCTTGAGAATTCTGGTATTAGAGCAAATTTCTAAAGTGGTAGAGTTGTTCGATCCGATTAAGAGGTAAGGGAAGCTAGATAATTTAATTACTTAGTTTTGATGTATGAACGGTTGTTTGATGATGTTGCATGTATGTGAAATTGAATTGTTTGATGTTCGGTAATTTTGGGTGTGGACTGTTATATGATATGCTCATGAGGTTTGGGGTTTCTGTATGATTCTAGTTCAGTGGCCGAGTGAAATTGGTAAGGGTTGGGTGTTGATTATAATTCTGCAGATATTCTGCAGAATTAAGTAGTTTACTGAAGGTCTTTAATTGATCGTTCGATTTTACTCTGGTGCTAGGTCTTAACTGAGTTATGCTATTGTGTATTCTCATTTATGAACGCTCGGTCTAGTATTGATTTTTCTTATTTAATATAGCGTTCAGTCTGTCATGGGCTGTAACTGTTATTGACCGCTCGGTCTCGGTAGTGCTCGGTCAGATGCCAGCACTTGGTCTTATTAGTGCTTAGTGATGCACTAAGCACTCGGTCTTGTACTAGCCGTTAGGCTAGTGATAGCACTCGGTCTTGTACTAGACGTTATGCTAGTGATAGCGCTCAGTCATGTACTGTCTTGGTAAGTGCTTGGTCTTAAACCAACGCTCGTTCGATATAGTGCTCGGTTTTTACTAATATTTATGATAGAGTTAGCGATCGATATTATTGAGTTGTGTGGTCTCTTATGAGCGCTCGTTCTCATACCAGTGCTCAATATCGTACTTGTACTAAGTTAATAGTGTTTGGTCTAAACCAATATTGTTCGTTCTAAATCATAAGTGCATGATATAAGTTCAAGTGTTCTACTACTGCTTGAGTCTTATTCTCTAAATGACCGTTCGGTCATGTTCTCATATTGGGAGTGCTCTCCCGTTCAGTCTTATTCATAGGTTATGTTGATCTTTCACGTTAGGTCCTTTTCAAAGGTGGGATTATTGTTTTACTATTATGTGTGATATTTATTTAAAGATGTGATGTATGAGGAAATATGTTGTTAATGAGGTATGGTATTTAAAATATGACATGAATGAAATAGTATGAATATGAAGAAGTATGATGTGATTTGTATTATATGGATATGAACGAGTGTTCCAAGGAGGAATATCTCAGAAATGATTATGGAATTGTAAAGTATGAATATGGTCAGACTAAGTTGTCGTTCATCTTGACATTCTAATGGTCACCGAGTCTCAAGTAGAGAATGATGGCGCATGTGGTGAGAAAAGCAGGAGGCATGGTTGCGTATAGCTTGGAGTTCTAGCTATCAGACTAAACTCATGTGTAGGCTTGGGTTTCCTGCTACACTGAGGGATGAAGGGCTAACCTCGTGTGGCGGCTTGGGTTTCTAGCTATGGTAATTCTGATGGTTTTCCATATTACCTTTCCACGAGTGCAAGAACGTCGTAGCTACATAATTCATACAGTCCGGACAGTCAGAGTAAAGTGAACAGTCATTGCATGCATTTTTGTATGATTATGGTTGGAAATGTATGATTGGTTGTTGCAAGATGGACTTATTGATTTATATCAAATTTATGTGAGTTATCTGTTTACACAGTTAATTAAATTACACTAGCTTACCCTTATTTTCCTGTATTGTCATGTTGTCTATTCGGTCGTCCTTGTCCTTGCAATGATCACCCATTGGGTGTGAGCAGAGTGTGCAGAAGATATTCTAGAGTAGGCGTTGGCAGGAGAGGAGGGTTTTCGCTAAGAGTAAGACCGTTCGGTCTTGTACTTGTTTTTGCATTTCGTATAGGACCATTCGGTGTAATACAATGTTTAAAGGACCGTTCGGTTGATACACCTCTGGTATGACCGATCGGTCTGCTTTTAAGGGTTGTATTAGTGTAGGTTTCTGTAAAGTTTTTAATTTATAGTTATTTTAGAATAACTGTAAGTTAACTTTATCTTCATGTAAATGTTCTATTTTATTGTAAATGTAATTATCCTTAAGTATAGTTTAAAGCTATATTTTTGGGATGTTACATTAATGGTATCAGAGTAGTTAATTCCTAAAACGACCTCTGAGTTAAGGGTTTGTCGTGGCTTTCCTGTGGAAAGTTGTGCCTAAATGGTATGTTATACCATTTCCTTCAAGATTAGGTAGTCAAATTTTAGATATAACTAGAAGTTTTGAGAACAGAGAATGTCTTGTTAGAAGTAATGAGGGTGCACACTCATGACTTTTACCGAAGATAATTTTCTTTTCTCAATTCTGATTGAAATTTTAGACTCTTCTATTTATTGTATTCGACCGCTCGGTTTCATAGTGACCGTTCGGTCTCATACTGGCCTTCTTGTGATCAAATGTTCTATTATTTGTCACCGTTCAGTCATGTATTGTCTTCTTGGCTATGTTGATTTGGCTTTTGGCTATAGTCCGCGTTCGGTTTAAATAGTGTCCTTGAGTTAGACTGATGGGTATTTATCCTTGTAATTTCGGTAGATTGCATCTAGGTCTCCTCCTCCCTCACCTACGGATATGGATGCACCTAATTCCATGACATTGATGGAATCAATAATCACAGATATGCAGCAACAGAACCTTGCATTAGTTCAACAGAACCTTGCATTAGTTCAACAGAATACAATGGCTCTACAGCGCTTGGAGACCGCTCGGATTTCAGCAGAGACGTCTCAGCAGCAGTATGTGGATTTAATGTTGAAGGATAGGACTACAGCTAGGTCGTCTATTTCTTCTACTGTTCATCAGCAAGAATGGAGCTTAGAAAGTTTCCTACAACATCAACCGGCTAAGTTCAGTGGGAAGTGCAGTCCATATGAGGTCGACCAGTGGTTCAAAGACATGGAGAGGATTTTCAATGCTAATAAGTGTCCGAACGAGAGCAAGTTGAATTATTCAGAGTATTTGCTGACTGGGGAAGCAAGTCATTGGTGGAGTAACATGAGGATGTTGTTGGAAGGAAACGATACACTTATTTCCTGGGAAGTATTCAAGCAAAAGTTTTACGCTGAGTAATTTTCTAACCGTGTTCGGTTTGAAAAGGAAGTGGAGTTTCTGGAATTGGTTCAAGGGAGTATGACTGTGTCTGAGTATGACGATCGATTTAAGCATCTTCTAAGATTTTATACATTGGCAACAAATGAAGAATGGAAGTGCAGAAAGTTTGAGAATGAGTTGAGAGGCAACATTAAATTGTGGAACAAGTGTTTGTGTATTCGAGAGTTACCAGTTTTGATTGAGAGAGCGAGAGTATTTGAAAAGACGAAGAAGGAAGTAGAAAGTCAGCAAAATCAGCAAAAGAGGATGGATGAACCGAACATATCTAGAGGTAATTCGGATTCCAGAATAACTCCTTATTCACGGCCTTCTTATTTTCCTTCTGGATCCAAAGGTTTTTCTGCAAAGTCATCCGGTGCTTGTGGTTAATCTGGACAACAAAGGCCAATAAGTTGTTATAACTATGGAGGGCCTCATTTGAAGTCAGTTTGTCCTCAAATATTGAAAAATTATTACAAATATAAGAAATAAAAATGTAATTACGTCATGTCATTTTATTAGTTTCATTAAACAATATTAATTTAAATTATGAAATGTTAAATCTTGTAAGATTTAAGTAAGATAGAAAGTTAGGTCTAGGATAGAGTTAACTAAGTTGATCAAATTTTAGATTGAGTAAAGTTAGTATAGACATAGTTTGAAACAAATAGATTTGGCACTAATTGATTTAAATTGGTCTAACCTAGGTTGATCTGAGTCTATTATCAATTCAAGCTAGTTGGTTAGGATCGAACTCAAGTTGATTGATCATATTTAAATCCACTTAAATGGATCTGAATCTAAGTTAAGCCAAGTTAATCTGGGTTCAAATTGCACCAACCCATATTCGAGTAAGTTGGATAGGTCAATGTTCATTCAAGTCGGAATCAATCCACACTCAAACGAGTTAGGCTAGGCCTAGATCTAAACAAGTTAGTTCAAGTGAGTCTAGTCGAGCCAAGTTAATCTGGATTGAGGTAGACCTAGGTGTCAAACGATATTTTAAATTTGTCTAATATGTTTCTGTTCACATCCAAATATAAAGACTACATATATATTTAACTTTTTTTTAAGCAAAACTCATATTAGATATGTACTTTGATATCTTAGATAGGCTCATGTCTTAAAATACATCTTATCATTTCTCATCACATAAAAGTTTATTAAAATGAAATAAAATAAGAAAATAAACATAAGCATGGGAACCAAACCATCCATGGTTAATAATTCATCATGAGTAACCAGTTCAACAAGCCAACTCGCCTCTAAAACAGCTATATAGTCAGCATTTCTGATTAGACGATGCCTACAAACAATTATTATCGTAGAGCGTCCAAACATAAGCAAATCCAGAGCCCAATGAACAGGGCATAAAATGGAGTGGAGTTTTATGCACATCCAGATTGAGCAATGTTCTTCCTCCTTTGCAATTTAATATACCGAATTACACGTTTTGAAACACTCCCTGGATTGATCAATCTGAAATATACTTATAGATTTGAAGATACATCCCATATTGAATATTCTGGAAAATATGTTAGTGTTCTAGAATGATCAATCCAAAATTTCTCACCAGATTTGGAAGTGCATTTCGGACTACTCAATTCGAAATGCATTCTTACAGAGAATGTTCCGAAATGTTTAATCTGAAGCATAGCTTTCAGATCCAATAACATTCAAAATTGTACCATCCGTAATTTATTTAAAACTCCCAAACACCGGAGACACATCGTACAACAGTGAAACAAAACGGAAATAAAGTTATGTACCTCTATTCAATCGGTGAAGAAGGTGTTGCCTATGGCCAAACCTTTAAAAGATTCAACGATGAACCACTAGAGAGGAGTGAAAATGACTGAAGGAATCCTGAAGGAGAAGAAAGGGGGGTTTGGGGACAATAATATGTGTGTATGTTTCAATTTTTATCCTAAGTTATAACCAATGAAATTCAAATGAGCTAAATAAACATAAAAATAATATTAACATTTAAATTAAATACAATATTAATATCTCTACTATATATTAATAAATATATCAAATTTAAATTTTTTTATGATGAAAATATCAGAAAAAAAACTAATGTTTAAGTTACTAAAAAAAATGTAGTAATTAATCATCTTATATGAATTTTAAAAACATTATTTTTTTTCTTCTATTTTAATAACTTTTGATGTCATCTTAAAATGATTTTCCTCTTCCACCTTTCTATAATTATAATAGTTTTCATTATCATTGGGATGCATTTAAACAATAATAACGAATGAATTTAAAAAGAAAATTGTACAATAAAAATATATTCAATTACATTATTTAAATCATTCTTAAGAAATTCATGCTTCATGTAAGATTCCTATTTTTAATAAAATATATTATTTTTTTATTTTTATTTAAAAAATAAAAAATCTTTTATTTTTATTAATGCTTAAAAGCCTCTTCGTTCATGTCTTTCATGTTTTTCATTTTCATCTTTCATGTTTGTGGGTGTGTGGTTGTAGCTATCCTCACATTAAACGCTTAAGGTTTTTTTCATGTTCCTAAAGTTGGCATACGAGTGTTTTACACAAAATCTTTGGTCAATTCCAAGAAACAGTTCGTGTAAAGCTGGAAGTAGGCCTTGTGATTTTAATACAATAAAGACCAGTTAGCGGTTCTAATTAATGAATGAATGTACAAAAATTACAAATTGTAGAACATTATTACCTTTTGTTAGTCTAACATAAAAGTAAATGATGAACATACTTCAACACCACCAAGGTCATCAATCAATAACTCCAGAAACTAGGTCCATGAATCCTTCGTTCTCCACTTCAACCACAACATATGCAATAGGCAACATTTGGTCATTGGCATCTTGTCCAACAACCGTTAACAACTTCCCACCATACTTCCCTTTCAAGAAAGCTTCGTCTAATCCAATTATTGGTCTGCATGACACAAAATTGTCTTTGCATGCCTTCCAACATGCATAAAATCTCTTAAAAATATATGCACATTACTATCTTCTTCAATGATGGACCTCTTCCTGTATGCCAGGCTTACCTTCCACTTCACCATCACAATCACCTATCTCTTATGTTCCAGTATCACCTTCAAATTCACCACCAAATTTATCTACACACTAAATGGTCTCATGCGACACAGGTTCAAGTTCTCCTTCATCATCATGAACATATTCCAGCATGTGTATGACTTGGGGTTTAGAAACCGTGTGTACCACAAATACATGAACCTGACCATTAAGCATAACTAAGTTAACCATATACATGCCACCAATGTCATCACACAAAGGCTCCCACCTGTCTTCCAACACTGAATCCCCTCCTAGAGAGTACCATAGATCTTTAAAACTAACATATCTCAAACCTTTGACTACACTTACAACAACAAAGTAACTCCACATATCTAGGTCAAATGATAACGTAAAAGTCTCTCATTCATACTTCAACATCCCATCATTAACAAACTTCCCTTTGTGGAAAATAACCTTAATATTATCGTCCATTATGCACAACACTATAAATATTTCTACACCTATAATATAATCATATCTCAACAAAAAATAAACATATTAAAACCATAACCATAACACGCTCAAACAAACATTGTAAAACAACTTTAAACATGGGGGCCACCACATCGCAATCAACAATACAAAGCATTTCAATCATGGGAGACCACCATTCAATATTCAGCTTTCCCAAAACAAACACAATACAACATATAACCATAAAAAAGCATAACAAAAAGCACACTTACTGACCTTCGTTGCGATTGAGCTCCAATGACCACGTGATTCAGCCTCGCTGTTCCAACAAAACAAGGTCCCAAAGATCACTAAAATTACCAAAGCCCTAAAATTGCTCAATTTGAAATTTGTATAAACCCTAAATTCCCAAAATCAATCTCTAATTTCTCTTATTGATTCCCATTTTTTTGCCAATGAACCCTAATTCAAAGAAAGAACTCTCACTCTCTTTTCACAATCCCTAATTCGAAAAAAGTACTAAGTTTAATTAACTTTTTTCCAATTTCTTTAATTAAAAAATAGATAAATACATGTCAGAATCACCTTTAGTGAATAAGTGAACCACGTTATTTAAAAAACCAACATCAGCATGTGTCTAACATCATTGGTCCAATTTAATAATAAGAGTCTAATTAAAATAATTTTACAAAAATTAAGACCAATTTTCCAACCCAAATAAGGACGTAGAGAATGAATAAACATTTTCTTAATTAAATCAACTTTATTTAACACATCAATCTGTGCTAGATCAGATCGACTCAAATTCCTTAAATTCACAATAAATAAATTAGGTTAAGTTTGACTTACTAAGTTGACTAATTCCTTTGATGGATCAATTAGATTGACTAACCCGTTTTAATAACTCTTAAGTACAAGAAACAATGATCCGAAAGATGAAACTAGGAAAAGAAAGAAAAACAAATTTGGACCTTGGCTAGACTCTAACAAAACCTCTCAAAGTTTATAATTTATAATAAATTTCGGTCACTAATTAAAATTATTAAAATAATGTTGCTAACGTTCTCTCAATTTTAAAATGTTTTTATATATACGGTGTTATGAACAAAAGAAACTATATAATTAATAGCTTTGCTGATCTACGTGTAACCTCTTCTGAAAAATATTGAAACATTTTAAAAATAAGTTGTTCCTTTTCTGGAAATGAAAGTACATAGTTAACAGTTATTATAAACAAATTTAAATATTTTTTCTCAAGAAAATAAACAAACAAATCCACGAGCCACATTATTTTCCATAACTAATTACTTTATTTGGATAATAAGTAATAGATAAATTTCTAATTANGTGACTAATTCCTTTGATGGATCAATTAGATTGACTAACCCGTTTTAATAACTCTTAAGTACAAGAAACAATGATCCGAAAGATGAAACTAGGAAAAGAAAGAAAAACAAATTTGGACCTTGGCTAGACTCTAACAAAACCTCTCAAAGTTTATAATTTATAATAAATTTCGGTCACTAATTAAAATTATTAAAATAATGTTGCTAACGTTCTCTCAATTTTAAAATGTTTTTATATATACGGTGTTATGAACAAAAGAAACTATATAATTAATAGCTTTGCTGATCTACGTGTAACCTCTTCTGAAAAATATTGAAACATTTTAAAAATAAGTTGTTCCTTTTCTGGAAATGAAAGTACATAGTTAACAGTTATTATAAACAAATTTAAATATTTTTTCTCAAGAAAATAAACAAACAAATCCACGAGCCACATTATTTTCCATAACTAATTACTTTATTTGGATAATAAGTAATAGATAAATTTCTAATTAGGAATATAAAAAAATAATAATTCAACCAGAAATAATTAGCATAATCATCATAATAGGGTGAATACAACTCAGAAACAAGAGCAGTATTAAATTAATTAGCATCATCTTCGGTACAAGAAAATTGGTATTGGACCAAATGGACGGTTTAACATCTGGAGCTTGCAGCAGATCCAATTCTCAACACACAATTTAGTAGCAAAAGATTCAACAGCTTCCAATTCTTCACTGGAAATAAACCATAAATATTAAATAATTAAACATGTGGATGAACACTATCTTTTTTTCAAGATAATATGTCTTATAATTAGGGAAGTAATTGAAATATTTTAACTAATTCACACATTAAAAAAATTTGGTTAATTTAGTTAATAGCAATAAACTTGTCTCTATTTATAATGCTTTTTCCTAAAATACCCTAAAGAGTTTTGGGATTATCCATATAATTTTTTAAAACTTAATTACTTTCACCTTTATAATTAATTAAAGAATAATAATAGTGGCTTATTCATCTGCTTCACTTTTCATGAGAATGAGAAGCAGGCAATTGACAGTATTCATTATTTTATACTAAAATAAGGGTATTTTGGTCAAAAATAATTATTACAGCACCCAATTAGAACAAAGTCTACTAAAAAGGGACTGTAGTTTCAAGACAGTCGTATCATTAGAAATGAAAAGAGTAATAGCAATACTCAAGTCTTCACTGAAGCAAGTGAAGCTTCAAAAAGTCATAGATTATTCAAAACATTGATGGAAAATTGTGAATTTGAATTTTCTGCTGAGTTTTTGGTGCTTTGGTGTTATTCTTTTGCTGTCTTCAAAATACATTGGTGGATACTGATTTTGATGCTGACATCAGTGTATTTTAAAGGCTCAACAGAAAACCAGCATCAAAAGACCAACAAAGAATCTGGACTTAAAATTAGCATATTTCAAAGATCTCTTAATGACACAAGGTAAAGGGTCAGAAATATCACCGTCCTCCAGGGTGCCCCACATACACCACTATGCTGATGAGACCACCTGGCATCAGAATTCTCTTGGCAGCTTCCAATGCCAGTGATGTTGTTTCTGATACTGTTATTATCTCTTTGTCACCTCCAGGAAGATAGCCCAAGTTGAATGCAACGAGCCTATACAGAATATTAAGATAGATAAGCATGTTTCATCGAAGTGTAAGAAGCAGCTCACCATGACATATAGTTTAATAATAAGAAATACATTAATGCAATCATTATTCAGGGTTGCAGCTAATATTGATTATCTTTAAAATGACGGTTGCATCAAAATTTATGAAATCTACATTCAAAATTAGTTATCTTAGGCTATCTTATTATTTGAAAATAGTTTTGATAGTATACATCCAAAAATCTCATATGGTTAAGGAGTTGAAGTAAATGCTAACTTTTATTTACTTTCTTTCCTTAACTCTATTGACACATTTTAAAGACAAAACCGTGATAAAACATTAGGAATTTCAAACAAGACAATATTTTAAGGAAAAATTGTGGCACTTGCGATTTTAGTGGACTTGAGACCAAGTCCTAAGTCTATAATCAAACCAGCCCTTGGTGCCTGACTGTGCATATGGAATGGCATGTTAATATATTGTTTTGAAATCTAGAGAAATTTCTCTTCAGCCTCATAAAAGATTCATGCAATGAGACCAAGTAGGAATAAAGACTGAAATTATAATTCTTTTTTCAAGAAATCTATAAAAATAAAGAATGAAACAGATTTCATTTCAGTGAATATAGTTAAATTACACCTCAATCCTATCTCCAACGTTATCAGTATTAATCAATCACAAAAGTAATTTTTTTAGTCCTTTTCTCACCTTTGCTTTCCACTTTTATTTCGTATAAGTAAAGATGTAAAGGGAATGATGCTTTGCAAAGTTAGGAACTAAAGCAATAATTTTATAAACTAAAGAGCTAAAGTGATGAACGGTTACAATTTCAAAGACGAGTTTACTATGAAAATAACTACACCAGTTATTTATTGTCATCAGCTTCTGAACAAGGAGTAGGAACAGGGGATCATGAAACAAGTACCTAACTGATGCATTCCTTGCAACAACATTCTCCATTTTACTATGGCAGATATTGAAGAGCTTGACAAGTTGTCGCTGCATGTATTTTGAAATTGTAGTTGGTGACATGAAAGTTCTTAATTGTTGTCAAATTAACTACACCAAAACTAAAAGGATCAAGGCCAGTTCAAATTCTCAGACTATAGCAGGATCTATCTATCATCCAAGAACTTTTTTCAGTGGCTACATAACATAGACTATTTTATGCAATATTTTGGCAATTCAAAGTTGAAACTATTTGGTCATATATAGTCTAACCTCATTAGAACTAAGTGACTTTTCCAACAAGAGGGAAGTGTTATTCAAAGCATCTTCTTGAATGTCTAATGCATAGACATAACCGTCATGTGAATCATCAGCGACTAAATTAAGCATTGCTAAGGTGTCAAAACCATTGCCACAAGTAGCATCAATGACAATGTCTCCTTTCTGGACAACCTGTTTCCACACCCTGGTAAGTATAAGAAATATACTTAGTTATTATCAAGGCTTTACTACCATAACAATTTATATATAGTGTACTAGGACAAGTTTCACGAAAAGCACTTCTAAGGAAAAAATGAAATCAGTTTCTCCATTAACTAAAATTTACTTCTGCATAATGTATATGAATTTTCTAATATAATATTTCTAAATTCGTATTATTAACTTATGCATAAGCTAAATTTAGTTGATCTACAAGTTCATTTCATTTTTACCTTATTTTTCTATTTTAGAAAAAGTAAAAGGGTGCCAAATAGTCTTCTGTAACAAGCATAAAACATGTTCACTTTTAACTTGTTCTTTTAGAAGCATGGAAACTGAAATAAATATGTAAGAGAAGCTCCCCAAATTATCTGACAGAATCAGAGAATTTTGCTACAAATTATTAGGATTTAGGAGTTCCCAAAAAAATTAATAGCTTAGCCTTTGTCTGGGTGAAACAAATGTAGCATGGGATCAATTCCAAGTGTAACATCCATGTAAATAATATATCATATGCAATGTAATTTTCTACTATCGTAATCATAAAATATATGCCCATGCGTACCTTAAAAAAAACTGTCTCTGTTACTATTGGACGCAACAAATAAAGTTGACAAAACAGTTCTAGATTAGAATATCAGCATACATGAGAGAAAAACAGAATTTTGAAATTTCAATCTGCCATTTTATAAGACGAAACAATAGCAACTCAAAATTGAAAAGTTAAAGGCCGCAAACATGAGAGTACGTTTTTGTAGAGAATTAAAAGTAGAAGATTCAGTCACTGAGGTATTAAGAACACAAATCCTGCAGAAAAACTAAGTAATCCCTCAAATACTAAGCTAAAAATGGAAAAAGCAAGCAGAAATCTTGGAAACAGAAGTATTTTCATTTTCAGGACATAATATGATAAAACCAGTTGTACGTACATGTGAGCAATGTCGGTTGCCCTCTTCTTCCCAAAGAGATAACTTACCAAGGCATCCTCCAAACCTGAAAACAAAGGTAGGGGCATTTCAACATTCGTAATAGATTATGCACACAGGTTCACGATACTGTCACAAAGACAACATTATCGAGGCTGACAAAAGGGAAATGGTACCTGAAAAGGGGGAATCTTTCGGGCAGGAAGAAGAAGATTGGAGGTCACTGGCAACTGAGAAAAACCCATTTTTCTTATTAGGTTCCCCAGAGTAGCAACTAACATTTTTTTTGGAACTGTTGCATAGGGTGTTCTTGAGTATCAGAGGAGGAACCAAAAACAAGGTTATTCGGGAAGAACATGAAAGGCTGCTGTGAGTGGCTAAAGGAAAGAACCACCGCCTGAGAGACAACATTGCTAATCAGAATACTACAACATCATGGGTTGGAAAAAGGCATATACAAAGGTGTTTTTGTTGGGTAAGGCTTAATTAAATTTTGAAGGAAATGATAAATTTAGGTATTTTTAATTAGAATTTTATTAATTGGTTGATGTGGTTATAATATTGTTTTCTTATTTTTCTTATTTGTTAATTTATAATTTTATAATTTTGTAACTATAAGTTATTTTATATTTTATAATTTTGTAACCCTTATTTATTTTATATTTTTTTTGTCACTAATCTCAACTAAGATCTTTTCTTTTCTCTTTTATCTCTCATAAAAAGAATTATCAATTTGTATAATAGTTCTAAAGTTTATGCTTAATTAATTACTTGGTTAATGATCAACTATGATGAAGAGATCAATTGTCATGTGGACAACTCATTTAACATGTGCTAAAGATGTGTTAACATTGCAGTAGATTATTTTAGGTTGAGAACGTTGAGCGTTTAACCTAGCTTGCTTAGCGCATGGTTGTGAAGCGTTTTATGTTTTCCAAGTGAAAATGTTATGAGATAATCCTATTATATTTGGTGTCTTCATATATTCATCTTTTCTTCATTATCATCATCTTCTTCTTTTTATCTTCTATTTATAGTGGTTTTGACGATGCTTGTCTTGAGACTTAATAATATGACCGTTTGACGAAGCTTGTCTCAAGATTTGATCTCTTTTGGCTATTGTTGTAGATGTTTATAAGGATGGAGCCTTTTTGTCAGAGCAGACGTGCTTTTCGGAATTTTATCAAAAACATATTTGACTTCTCATTTGACACAACTTTTGATGAACAGTTCATTCTTCTTTTATCTTCTTACAACGTTCATTTTGATTCTTATAAGATGAAGCATATGAACGTTTGTAGTAATCATCCTACACAAGATAGAACAAAAGTTTGTAATGTATGTATGTCCTATTTACTGTTGGCTTTGATGTTTTCAAATGCTTTCAACGTTTGTTCAAGATTCTATGATTTCTTTTGTTTTGTTTGTAGTTGATATCGTTTAGTTTGTAAGAGACTCTTTCTTGGTTAGTGTTTTACTTGTTGTTTTCATGATTTATTTAGACGTAGGTACTGTGTCATGATTTCCTAAGACATGAACATTCCGTGAATGCCTTTCTTGTTACTGACACCTATTATTGGTTTGTTTAGGGTTTTGATGTATAGTTCATTCATCAGATGTTACTTTTGTTGTTTTTGAACGTTGAGCATTTAATATCATTTAATGTTTGCTCAGAACAACAAAGTGATTTTCATTTTCTACAGTTGAGGTAGCGTTTAACAAATGAGCTTTTCTTCTAAGGATACTAGGCGTTGAATAGGAACTTCATCATTGGACGAAGTAATAGTTTAGCTCATGGTATCATTTAGATTGATGCAAACACTTTTTATGATTTTTCCTTTTTAGAGTAATGGCGTTTAGCATGTTATCTTTTCCTTGATGTTTTAGGTTTAGGCTTTTAAAAAAAATTGTCAAAAATGTTGTCTTGACACTTTTTCATTTTTTCGTAAGATCAATTGAATAAGCTTTTGGGTATAGTAAGCTTACACGTTTAACTTAAACTCTCTTAGACGCTTTTGACTTAACAGTAATTTAGCATTGCATTTGAGTGTTTTGTTTTAGGTGTTTTTATGTTTTCTTCAATCCTAAAGGTTTTCCTAAGTTGCCCTACTTCTAATGCTTTGTTCGTGTTTTTCTACAATCCTATTGTTTTTTAAGTGTTTTCTTAAACTTTTCTTTAGCTAGTCTAATTATGTTTTTCTTATGTTGTATCCAGCTAGTGTTTACGTTTTTGCTTATCCTATGTTTCTAGTGTCATAGCCTAGTTTGACCTTACTGTGATTTTATGTGTGTTAGACTTCTTTTTGAAAAGACCGATTACATCTTTTCTTCTTGGTGATTTAGACTTGTTGTGTGGATACCTATTTTTTCTAACTTGGAGTTTCTGTCTGTCCTAGGGCTTAATATTTGTTTTCTATTCTATAAGACTTCCTATTGTGTGTATACACGTTCTTCCTAACTTTGAATTTTCGTCCTAGCGTTTGGTGTTTGTTTTCCATTCTTCGAGACTTTCTATTATGTGGATAACTTTCTTCCTAACTTAGAATTTTTGTCCTAGCGTTTGGTGTTGTTTTCCATTCTTCGAGACTTCTTCGTTTCATGTTGTTTAGTTAAACTTCAACAAGGGTTCTATAGACGAGCTTGTCTTGTTTTAACAATGATCAAGTATAAGAGCAACCCAGTGTTCCAAACACCAAGGTAGACAAACTTAATGTGCTGAGTATAAATAAACATGGCATCCAAGCGTCCAGATACAAGAATGAACTCGACAATTTGTTGCCTAAAGCACAATATCAACTCGACGTTCTAAGGCTAAGTACAAGAGGAATTTAGCAATTATAGACAAGAACCTGACTTTTCACTGTCCGAGAGTGAGTGACTTGGCGTTGTAGTACCGAATTGCAATAGCATATTATAATCCAGCATTGTAATACCCAGATTCAAGAAAGAGCGGTGTAGAAGGTACATATAGTCTAAGCATGACTACAACGCTAATCTAAGTCATGTTAAGATAAGCCTCAAGCATAAGGACAAACATCCACTAATAGAACACTTAAAGAAGACACTATAATAACACATCCAAGAGATAAGCAAAAATCCGATTCCTACAACTTTTACTTGGAATTCCTTATGTTGTTCACTTAGTTGCTTTTGTCTTTTATGGTAATGATTACAGAAAAACTTTACTTTTGTCCTTTTGTTGTTTATTTTAGGATTTGTACTAACACTTATTCTTGTAATCATTACATAGTATATGTAGATGAATCGTGCCCACACTTTCATGCTGTGTTCGCATGAACGGAAAATACTGTTAATGCTGAAATGCGAGCGATGAATTCATTCAATTGTCATGTTCGTTTCAACTGATAAGGATGGATGAGCGAAGACGGATTTGTGGGATTCATCCGATTTTGGTCACTCGCATGAACGAGGAGATTTGCGTGGATTCTTACGGAAATGTCATGTATGCCCTCCACTTATTAGTTAAATTCCAGTCTGTACATCATGTATAACTTATTCTGTTTGTGTATTTAAGTTGCAAACGCGTAACCGGTTACGCAATATATATTTTTCAGTTTTTTTTATAATTATTTTAATATTATAATTTAAAAAGATGTACATTTTAATAAAATTAGATATATTATATTTTCTAATTTATTAAAAATAAGTTGATTATTTAATTTTTATAATTTTTAAACATTAATTTTATAAATTATTCATAATTTTTTTTTCTTTATAAACATTTTTACAATTAAATATAACATTTTATATTATTTTTATAACTAGGGGCATTTTGGTAATCTTTAATTTCTACCAATTAAACTAATTTTTTATTGTATATTTGAAACTACTGTCTTCTGCAACCTTAAGAAGAAGCCGTTTGGCTTTTTTGAGACGTTGGGTTAGATTTGTAAAGACTGCTTATTTACTGTTAGGGTTGCGTAATTAATGCGCTCTAAATTATGGTTAATTCTATAATTTGGGATGTTTCATTAGTGTACTCAGAGCAGTTTTTGTTCTAGGTACAAAAGGACACCGTAAGGATATTGGGCGGTCACCTTGTAGTCTCGTTTGCTTTGTGTGGCTTTTTATACTCGATTAACCATTGATATTTTTTGTTTTTTAACCTAGTCTTGAACAATTCTATCTACGACTGCTTTCTGTCGTGCTTTCGGTGATCCCTGGTAACCAGAGTCAACCTATGGCGCCCTAGACGTCCTCCTCGTCCCCCACCCTACCGCCTAATGATACTTACTCGTCCAAACACGCTAAGTAGCTTTTTAATCCGCTTGATAGATAGGTTTCAACAGTCATAATAATACACTCTTATGTAACAGAACATCACTCTGATGCAGTCACATCAGAACCGCCATGGCAGATTATGGGGCCCTCGCCGACGCTTTTCCACGTTCGGGGAAGCCACGCAGAGGCAATTGATGGACAATCCTTGCTGGCTCATACCATCGGCTCACTACGACAGGAGCCGTCCTCTTCCAATGCCACCCAGCCCACTACGGAATGGAGTTTGGAAAGTTTTCTACAACATCATCCTGCCAAGTTCAATGGAAAGTGACTTCCGGATGCAGCGGATCAATGGCTAAGGGACATGGAGAGGATTTATGATGCCAAAAGGTGCCCAGACGACAACCGTTTGGCATTTACGGAATATGTATTAACTGGTGACAGCGCTAGCCCTGGTGTACGTTAGCGCAAAAGCCTCCTCTTGACGTGACCGCAAACTCCCATCACTTGGGAAGTTTTAGGACTACATTTTATGAGAATACTTTCCAGTTATCTTCGGTTTGCAAAGAAAGTTAGAGTTTTCTTTCAATTGGTCCCAAGGAGGGATGTCCGTTTCTGATATACGACAAAGTTCAAACACTTGGTTTCGTTTACAACAAATGGCCACAATGAAGAGTGGCAGTGCCGAATTTGGAAAGACTTCGGAGTGACTTGAGGTATGATTTCCAAGCTGTGCATACGAACGGTTTCTCTGCCATGGTGTAGAGGGCCCCAGGTGCTGGAAGAACAATATGGCCGAGCGGAAAGTCCACAGAAGGCAACATCCCCAGGGTGTAAGGGATCCAATCTTAGGCCAAGCGAATACCATACCTAGTCAGAAGATTCCCCTTCCGCTCCGTCCAAAGTCAACTCACGAACGCAAGCGATCGCAAAGCATTTTTTCTGCGGACGTAGGGGCACCAAGGTGGTATTAACTTTGTTTTTTCAGTGTGGAGGGCCGCATTATATATTACCGTCTCGTCATGCCTCCCCTAGTTTGTCGTGTGGGTGGAAACTTGCACTCGTGACTGAAGGAATGGACATGTATGCGAAACGACGTGCAACTCTGGAGGTCGAGCAGTAATGAGGCCAGCCAATGCTGAGAGGAATCAGCCGAGAGGGGGACGAGCTCATCAGTGGGTCGCGAGTTATTCGATCCTGGAGCG